CAGTGCCAGTACACACTGTGCTGTGACAACTCAATGGCCTTCCGTAGAATAGGCTTTGAATGTGATGGCTGGCCCTGAGCCTCAAACAGATCTGCCAGCACACTTGCTGCCTCAAACTTAACATCGTCGAACCCATTGATAGTCTGTGACATACACCACTGAAACCACAACACAGTAAATTCACCATATGACCCACTTCAACTTTGTTTACATACTTTGAGAAAGTAGTATCTCATACACCCATAAACACTAATTTGTTATAGGCATACAACTCGAATATATCAACAGCCGTTCTTCCGAAACACATTGCACTGTTTAAATATAAGAATAACAACAAAAAAACTTACACTCTGCTCTAAATGCGTTCTCGCCAAGTCGATGTTTTTGGTGTGTGTCAAAAGAATATTTCCAAGTTGTAAATGTGTCCTGGCTTCGACCCTTTGTGGTGGTTTGAAATTAAATACGGCTTGTAGGCACTGGATGCAACTTTTTATGTCAGGAGGATTCGATGTACGGAAATGTTCTGCTAAACCAAGTAAAGAAATATACCAAGCGTCCTGCGTTGACGCCATTTTGACATTTCTGCTTGGAGGGAACGATGTTGCTAGACCTCGGTTTGAAGGGGCCTTCTTTGTTCAGTGATACCAGATTTAAGAAATTCATAGACATAATTTTAATACTAAAAGAAAAAAATCCTAAAATGTAAAATAACAAGGTTGTATGTTGATTTGTTAAATTATTTTGCCTAAAATATTTTGTGGTTTTGATATTTATAATAGTAACTCGGTCAATTTTTCATTAGTTTCATTTTAGTTAAGCTGATTTGCTACTGCCTGTACTGTTGTAATTAATGTTTTGACGTTATAGATACAATATTATTTTGTAAAAGTAATTAATTTTCTAATCCAATTTTGAGGTTTGTTTTTTAAATGTCATGCCATCTGTTATTCGACATCAGAACTATTCTATCAATGACGTACTAATGTCATAGAAATTTTAGTGATGTGCTACTATTTTACCAAATTCAGGAAATATCGAAAGATTTTTTAAAAGACCTCTGTCAGTCAGAACAGAAAAAGATAAGTTTTATTAGAATAAATCTTTTTGTTTTTTTTATCTAAAAACTGTCTTTTCATCATGGTCTACAACAACATTAACGTACCTCCTCTTTTTATCCTTCTTTTGAAGACGAACTGATGTCATAACCAAGAAGCATCTGTTTATATACAATAGGCTATGAAATAAATAAATAAACATTAGTAGGTACGTTTAATTTTAGTGGGTTATTCGTCGACAACAAAGGTCACAGTCGTTAAGTTAGTTCTTAGTATTTTGATTGTTAATTGCACTGTTTAATAAATGTCCATCGATCTTAGCTATTTCAATAAAATGTGTTGACTACATCGACAATTAAAATTAATTGTTCAACCCAAGCAGGAATACATAGCCGCAGAGGACTAACGGGTTGCCGAGGCACCGCATCGGCTCAAAGAGCAACAAGGAACAGAGTGGTTTTTAGTCAAATAGTCTGACACTACTAGTGTAGTATAAGATTTAAGTTATTGATTATCGAAACAATCTGTCTTCAGTCAAAGAACGAAATTTGAAGTTGCCTCATTTTTTATGGGATAAGCCGGTAAACGAGCAGACGGAACACCTTATCGGAATAGCAATCGGCATGCCCATGGACACATAAAACACCAGAGGCGTAACAAGTGCGTTACTGACCCTTTTGGATTAGGAATTTGAGGATTGTTGAGGACTCAGGGAATGGGAAAGGGGGAGAGGGGATTGGGAAAGGGGAGAGGGGATTGGGAAAGGGGAGAGGGGATTGGGAATGGGGAGAGGGGATTGGGAAGGGGGAGAGGGGATTGGGAAAGGGGGAGATGTAATTGGGCCTCCAGTAACCTCACTCACGCGACGAAACACATCGCAAGTGTTGTTTTACGTCGGTTTTTTATGAGGCTGTGGTATCAGGTATCACTCCGGTCGAGCCGGCCCAGTCGTGCCGAAGCATGGCTCTCCCACACTTCAAGTGTAATGTGCCTCATGGTTTTTAAATAAAACTCTTGTTGAGCAAAAGCAAAGCATATTGAGCAAATAGCTTCACTTTTAATTTTTTTTTGTTGACGTTCAAAAGTGCCATTCTGGCCTAATTGAAATAAATGATTTTGACTATAACTGAGGAAGTTAAGAACAAGGTTCTTATAGGTAACTTATCCAAAGGACACTCAGACATCCAAAAATGCGTCATGACCGGCTCACGTTCAAAATTAATAGCTGTGGCTGCAAGCTACAAAATAAATAAATTTCTGCTGCGTCGTAAGACACCCAGACAACAATTTGCCAAACCTAGAATTTTTATTGCACGCCGGCACGCGATTGTTACATGGGAAGATTTTTTGCAGAGCAGTACCCACGTTATCTGTCCGACTGCTGGCATTTGCCGATAATGCAGTTGTTAAAGTAGCAACCGTACGTAACGATGCTATGCTATTTATTTGCCGACTACGACGATACGGTTTGATACTAGATTAGCGCAGAGTCGAGATAATAGTCTCTGGTGTCAGCAAATTATCCCTTATTACCATGCACACAACATTCAGAAATATAAACACGACAGATGTATAATATGCGCAGCGCGGATCTGTCTCGGAAGGGATGTTATGTGTATTACTATAAGGAGAAGAACTATTAGGTCATTGGTCACCAAAAAAATGCAAGTTTGGCGGTGAACTCAAGCAACCTATTTATATTAGTAACAAGTTGAAGATTTATTCTTCACTGACCAGAGCTTGAGTTAATATACATTTAAATTACTAGTGGTGGAAGTAGGAAATAAAAGACAATTTAGTTAAACTTAGATGTTAGGTTTATTCATCAATGGTGAGTGCACCAGAGTTGATGTCATTGATGAGGTCATGTGGAGGCCTGCCCTCGACTGTGCAGCCGACAGACTGTGCGGTACCAAGGATCTCCTTGACTGTGCCAGACAGGTAACGGGCCATTGACCTGGCTCTCATGGTCTTGGCGATGCTGATAACATCCTCAAGAGTGATGTTGCCATTGTGCTTGACTGGAAAGAGAAAAGAATAATATATTAGTAATTAATAATAGCTTACTGCCATATAGTGATCTCTTAAAGTATTAGTTTCCACTCTTCTTAGAGAATTAGTAATTAGATCACTAATAACTACAATAAACTAAAATAGTATAATGAGAATAATCTACATATATAACTTTCTGGTTGATATAAAATTGAATATTGACATAAAAACTTGTACTACAATCATTTTCTAACATTGTGCAACTGCTTGTAATGTTACAAAAGGTAGAAGTTGCATATTACTGCAAGTTTGTCACAAATTATGGAGTTTCTTGCTTGTTCTTCTCCATAGAAATCTACACCTTGGAATGAGCAAATAGCTTCACTTTTAATTTTTTGTTTTGTTGACATTCATAAGTGCCTTCCTGGTGTAATTGAAATAAATGATTTTGACTTTGCCTATGGTTCTGTTCTTTGTCTAGATATATTTGGTTAAGTTCAACTGTTTTTATACAATTTATTAGCAGAAAAGACTTGGAACGTACTGTTCTTTTGCTTCTTGCGGTCACGTGGTGGCTCTTTCAGTGCTCTGATGATGAGGGCAGCGGCAGAAGGCACTACAGAGATCTGGGCCTGTCTGTTCTGTACAATCAGCTGCACGGTGATCTTAAGACCCTTCCAGTCACTAGTCGCCTTGGCAATGTCGTCACCAACCTTCTTGGGGGACTGTGTGTGGAAATAAATATTAGTAAGACATTTATGTACAAGTTGAACAAAGATTTAAAGTCGACAAGGTGAATCTGTGGTCTGTTATAACAAAATAAATGTACCTTTAAATCAGATCCTTTTGAAATAAATTGTCCATTATTGTGTATTACAGCTATGGAAATGTGAATAAGTATGTATAAAATCAATGTATGTGCAACTTACTCAGCTCCATGTGTAAATGGTACCTAGAAAGCATGGCAGTCACATTGCCTGGTCCGCGACTCCTTATTGGACATTCGGAGTAGCCGCGACAGGGAAATTATCCTGAGTCGCGGGTTCCTTCCATCCGCCACCCGGAAGGACGCGCCTGGTAGGGAGGCACCCCCCAGGATGATCAACTTGTATGCGAGACCACTCAATTCATACTTTCTCCTCTCCCAATCGAAAAAATTTGAAGATGCAAATCAATCGTATTGGCCTCATATTATATTAGACATGACCAAGTTTTATGTGTTTTAAATATTGAATTCAGTTGTCTCTATTCCGTACCACTGATTAAGTGATACGATCGTATGGAAATGGTATTCGGACTGCCATGCGAAACTTCTAGGTTATAATAGGATAGTAAATAGATTAATTAAATGCTCACCAGACCAAGAGGACCGATTTTAGGAGCCAAAGATGAAGTGGCACCAACTTCTCCACCGACGCATCGCAAGTTTACTGTAAAAATACACACACAAGTTGTAGAACACCATCACTCAGAAACCGGCATGTTTTTCACTGATATGAACTCTTACCGATTTTAATTTCATTAGGATCGAACTTAGGCGGCATTGTGCTGTATTTTTAAAATACAAATTAACGTATTTCAAACTATTCCAAGGTGATTAACTTGGATTAAAAAGGCGAACTGCAATCAAACGTTTAACAACGTTGACAGCTCACCGAAAAAGAAATGTTCTCTAACAATTTGACATTACCTGTCTTTGACATATAATATTTTTTAATTTAATACCGGATAGGAACCTTGCCTTTTAATACCTTGTACTTAGTTGTTATGCTTTTTTCAACGTTTTTGGATTCTTGTAATTTTTTCTGATTTATTTAAATAGCATGTGCTTGTGTGAATAAAAATATTTAATCAAAATAATTTATTCATTAATTTCGTTACAGTCTATTTAGTCGATTTAATAAATTCATTAGGACTTTGTTTGATCAAATTGTTTGATTGATGACATCACTTGAACTGTCTACTGTCTATGATCAATGATGTGATTCTGTGATTCTATGATTGAAGATTTTCTTAGTAATTTTCTTCAATTAATTGGTGAATTTTGTTTAATATTTTATAAAATATCTAAAAAATCATGGCTAACGACGATGTAGTGCTGAAGCAATATCTATCTAAATACAAACACCGTGACTACACGGCTCGGGAAGTTGTTAATTTGATTCAAGCGTACAGAAGTTTGACCTATCGTCTAGAAGCCTTTGTGTTCAATAACGGCGCCCGAAAAGACTTATTAAACCTCGAAGGTACCATCCCCGTGAACTATAAAGGAGCCTACTACAACATACCCGTTTGTATCTGGCTAATGGACACTCATCCGCAAAATGCGCCGCTGTGTTTCGTCAAACCCACGTCAGACATGTCTATCAAAGTCTCAAAATATGTAGACAGCAATGGAAAAGTGTATCTGCCGTATCTACACGAGTGGACACAGAACGGCTCCACCCTACAGAAGCTTATTCAATGTATGATCTCTGCTTTTGGAGAACTGCCACCAGTTTACTCGAAGCCCCGCAACGAAACTAGAGCTCCTTACCCTGTAAATTCTTTTATGCCACAGCCTACCGGCTACCCATTCCCACAAGGAGCTCCTCAACCAGGGTATCCCACACCAGCACCTTATCCAACAACATCAAATTTACCTTATCCAGGTTATGGCGCGCCATATCCTGGTTCTGTCAGTAGCAATGGTTTGCCATATCCACCTTCTTCATCAGCTACACCTTATCCTCCTGCATCAGGCTACCCAGGCCCCACTGTAACAGCAGATGTGGCGGGTGGTACCATCACAGAAGAACACATTAAAGCCTCACTGCTGTCTGCAGTGGAAGATAAACTACGAAGGAGGCTGAAGGAACAGTCTCTACAGTCTCAAGCAGAATTAGAAACTCTTAGAAGAACACAGCAGGAGCTTCGTGAGGGTAAAGCCCGTCTTGAAGAGATTCTTTCAAGGCTGCAAAGGGAGAGGGCTGAATTAGACAAAAATGTAACAATCTTGCAAGAGAAGGAGAAAGAATTACACACTGCTATTGAACGCTTGGAAGAACAAGAAGGCATTGATGTGGATGAAGCTGTTGTGACCACTGCTCCTCTGTACTCACAACTCCTAAATGCTTTTGCTGAAGAAGCTACTTTGGAAGATGCAATCTATTATATGGGAGAGGCACTGCGGAAGGAAGTGATTGATCTGGACACATTCTTGAAGCAGGTCCGTACTCTAGCTCGTCGGCAGTTCACTCTGCGTGCTCTGATGCACAAGTGTCGGCAGAAGGCTCAGTTGGCGTGCTAATAGTGGCGTCGTTTCTGGCAATGTTCCCTTAAGACTTTGCCAGAAATGAAATACTCTGTGATTTGTTTGTAAATGGTTATGAGTCATACTCGGATGATGTTGCATCATTTTGTGGTGGACTGACAGTGTCAGTTGAGGCTAATGCCTGCAAAACTGTTAACTTGTTAAAACTTCCTGTGTCTATATATCATAATACATATTGGCTTTGAATCCTGTATATGACATGTAGAACATGCTATGTTACTTGTAACTTTTTATATAGAGGCCCCACTCAAGCACTGTATCCCATGCAATAAGGGTGAATATAATTATTATTGTCTACAGTATATAGTCTTTAGCCTTAAAATTGCATAATTTCTATGACAAAAGTATGTTGAAGAATAAAATGTAAATATAATATCAAACAATTATTGTCTTTGAAATCTGTTTTATTAGAATATGTTATGTAGAATTTAGGCCATATTAACTCGTCGAGTACCATCATTATAGACACAATTATAGAACAATAGGTTGCGGTCACCAGTGACCGCTTGGTGTTTGACAGTTTAAATTAAAATTATAGAACTATTAAAATTAAAGCTAAATCCTCATGGGTTGAGAAGTTTTAAGTTCCGTACTATACTTGAGGAATTGGATTTGATCTCTACATTAAAAAAGCAATTTGGGCTTCTTCATATTGGTTTGAAAATATTTATATATTATAGGTTGCTTGATAATACTGTGAGATTAGTTGCATAAATGAAAATTGGATAATAAGTGCATACAGCAAACATAATGTTGCAAACAAACAAACAATGTTATGTTTTCAACAAATAAAACCACTATGTTGCATCACATTACATTTTTATTGTATTGCTTTATCTTCTAAGAGTCAGTGACTCATTTGTAACTAGGATACTTATATATGATAACAAAACTCATTTCATTAAAGTGCATTGTATCAAGTTAGTCTATTTTGCACTATGTGTCTAGAAAATATGCATTTATTATGTAATCTTAAAGTAGGTGACTGTCATTATAAACAGTTTGGGTTACATGTTATCAATATTGTAATTAGTATATTAAAATATTGTAATATAATTATTCAAAGCTTTCGACCCATATCCTATTATCTTAATCATCATTTATTAAGCTTATCTTTGAAAATCATTAAGTTTGGAAGGACATATTTGAGAATTGTGTGATGATAAATTCGTCTCTAGGATCTGTAAACTGGCAAAGATTAAGTGTTAGATGTATTTGATATGCACTTGTCTGCCTGTACTTTGGAGAATATATTTGATGATGCTCTATTATGCTATATCCAAAAAAAATTAAAATACATCACCATGGGGACCCCAAGAGGAGCATATAATTCTTGTAGCATTCACTTCTCACCAGCTTTGTTATAAGCCCCATGTGTAAGGGGTCTCTAAATATTTGTAACAAGGAAAGAAAACAAATTATAAACATTTGTAAGATAGAATGCGTAATCTTTTCTGTGAAAGTTGGCAGTCTAGTTAAACTCAACTCTAATCACGTTTCAACATAAGAAATAGCTTAGATGTAACCATGGACAAATAGTTGATTTATCCATTGATGTAACGAAATATTTCTTTAACTAAAATCGCGGGTTAATCACTTGATTATACTGAGAAAAGCTCTACTAGTTTCGAATCACATTGAACTGCGCGACGTCGCCGCGACCGCGCACGCTGCTCATGAGGAGGAACCCCTCTGTGGTTCGAAACTATTAGTAGAGCTTTTCTCAGTATATTCACATGAGTAGCCCGCGATTTTAGTTAATTTAGTATGTCTCACGATAGTTATTATAAAGAAATATTTCTTAGTTATAGTCATACGAAATTTTATTATTTTCATTATAGAGAATTTATTAATAGTTTGTCTGAACTTTTTATTTGGATACATATTTTTTATGAAATGTCACGAGGATCTCCAGGGATTTTATCATAGTGGCAGTGCACATCAAAGTATAAAAAAATGCATATTACGTACCGTTACCAAACTTATTATGTTTATAATAAGGTGAAAACTATGCAGGTGACATTATTTCAGTTTGGTCGTCCTGAGGGCTTAGTACAAGTTAGTTTTACGTTAAAAGTGATCGAAACGAAACCGCGAACGCGTACTATGGCCTCGAATTACCCCAATAAACAAGTTTCAAAGATGCAATTACTACTAAGGTTTTATTAAACTATCACCAGGAAAAGTACTAAAATAACAATATTACAGACTAACAGGTGTAAATTAAATTGAAAGGATTTCGCTCACAATTTTATCAAAAAATTGGTAACTACCTAATTTGTCCAGCAGGTCATTTAGATAAAGTCTTACGATAATAAATACTAGAGGAAACAAAAATACATTATAAAGATAAGGGAACGAAAAGTCCTTTTTTTTTCTTCTTTGGCAACCGAGTCTCCAAAACGGTGTTGTCGACAAAGTTTATCTTATAGGTTTCGATATTACTGAATCATTAGTTCATACTCTCGATGTGCACTGCACCCAAGATACAGGGTTGCGTTTTTAAGTGGTAGACAATAAAACATCATTTAGCTAGTGCTATGGGCGTTGTGATCTGGTTGTAATTCAAAGTGCCATGACGAGGCAAGGGATGAAAAATAATTTAATTAATATTTACCGTTTTGTAACTTAATATTGGTACCTATAAGTATAGGTATTTCGTTTATGAATAATATGCAATATACGCAGGAACAATTAACGTATCTTCTTTGATAATAAATAAAGAGTAGTGCTGTAATGTTTATAAATATAGAAGGGTATAGTTAATTATAATGATAAAGCTTATAAATTACATAAATAAAAATATAGCCAGGCTCTTGTACTGTTTTTTCGTAGTATGTATACCTAGATTCAAAGCCTATATACCTAGATTCAATTTTATTTATTTCTAGTGTGTACCAACTGCCTGTCGCGTAGCAATGTCATGGCCACGATAATTACGGTGTCGCGACATGATGTCATCTATCAATCAAGCTAGCCATTCATAAGTCGTTAGTAAGTAATTCTAAGTAGGTACTATCTATTCTATTCAAATTGCATGCGACCTCCTATACTACTCACATAATCAATCGTAGTCTAGGAGCTATATTTAATCGTTACTTTGTTATCTATGTTTGCGTGGATCTAGTAATTAATTGTAGTTACGCAGATATTTCCTGTAGTTCAGCCCTTGTTTCTCGTTCATTACATCGAGTTATTATGTCTACGATTTTTGCACTACCAAGACTGTGTAAATAAGATCTTTTATTAAAATATATAAGTAACTATCTCAATATATACACATTGAAAATTCTTGTAACTACGATAATAGGTTGCGATAACGGAGTGTTTGTTCTAGTTTTATTATAGCTTATATTCTTGTTTATCGTTGTCTGTATTCATTATGTATTTTAAAATAAATAAGTCACGTTGTAGAATTGTAAATGCAATCTGTTTAATCGTTTTTGTTTTAGGCATTAGGATTGCTTTCTCTATGTGTACAGATTATGTATAGTTTTTTTTATAACTTCTTTGATTATTATAACGGGATTTTTGCCTGACGATTATTTAGGAACATTGCACTAGTTAGTTGTGGAGTTCGCTTTTTTAACCTCGTGTAGTGTGTTGTCATGTTAAAGTCCCGTTTGGGTGCCTCATTTGTGTATTGGTACGTTTCTGGATACATATTTAAGCATTTACTATTAACAGCAGGTACTGTAAGGAACTAGCATGTAGCCAACAGGAACTTTTAACTTATAAAATGTCGATATTATTTTCTGTAAGTGCATTTTTATAGTTATTTTTTGTACCAGTACACAAGTGTACCTACATCCACATTCTGAAGGATTATCGTTTATCATTTTATATCTTGACGAATGTAAATAATTTAAGTTTGCATTGCATATAATCGGCGCTGACTGATATTTGTCACAATAAATATGAAAATAGCAAAATAGTGTTTTATTCTGTAACTAGTTCGTATACCATTACATGAGCTACTAAAGTAATATTATTATATGCCATAGTAATTAGTTTCTAGATAAATGTATAGACCCAGAGTTTTAACCTAATGCAGCATGGAAGTCTGTCCTCAACTTTTCAACTTTATCTCAAAAGCGTAGAGTTCAAAATCTGCCGTAGAAGTACCATATTACAACTTTGCCTGCGATACGAGGTCTCTTTCAGGATAAGCTTTATCCATACAGGAAACAATGTATGGATAATTAGCTTTATCGAATGAGGCAAACTTGTTAGCCTCTCGATACCAAGAACAACAGACCCAAAGAGAATAATAAGTATGGACGAAATACCTTTTTTGAGGGGAGAAAATAATCCAATGACTTCTTCCGCCTTGGGATTGGCGATAGAGAGAGAGAGAGACTTACTGACTAAAAACCACCCCGTTCTTACTCCTGCTCTTAGAGCTGGAGCCCCGGCAACTCGTTGTTAGGCCTTCCGCGGCTCTGTATAGGGTATCAGCCCTATTAGGCCCCGTCTGAGATGGTCTGAATGGGGGAATACCTACATGTTGAATTTTAGACGTTTGACATTCTTTTGATTGCGTGATATTGTTGTTGATTCATGAATGTTGTGACTTGTGACGATTGTATTTGCAAGCGTTATTTCCAAAATGATAAGATAATTCCATTCGTCACATTTAGCTACCGTTATCAATTGTTTGTCTAGTTGTTTACATACAGTTTATAGATATGTATAAAGTAGCAACGATCTGTAAAATCGACTAAACATAGCGATCAATCGTAGATTGAATCGATTAAGTAATTATGGATTACAGTAGATTTAAGAGTTGTGTTACCCTTCGATTAAGAATTATGATTATTATTTTTGTTCATAGCTAGTAACAATTATTGCCGCTAGTGTTTCAATAACTCGACAGGATTTAAATCGATAGTGGCGCCACCATATAATCCATACTTTTTATATTTCGTTACGAGATGATGTCTACCACCATTTACACTAAACGCGAAGAAGAATCTCAAAGTAATTAAGGTTGAAAGAGAAATAAAACTATCCAATAAATTATTATCTGGCCATTCATTTAATTTTGCAAAAATATGTTAAGCTTAGTGTATCAAAATAAATAAAATGCTTCATACACAGGAATGATATACTTTCGCCAGTAAATTACTTCTTATTCTTGTTTTTCTTGGCGGCTGCAGCGGCTGCTTCCAAATCAATGGGAGCTGGTTTAGTGAAGGGGATCAACTCTTGGTATTGTGCAGGCATCCATTGTTTCAAAGCTTCAGGTACCTGGGTTAAACGAAAATAGTTCTTATTAGTATTATCAGAAGGTTGATGTTGCTTTGTCGGTGTCTAGCTTTTTAGAAGTATGGAATATTTATATATTATATATTATATATAATATGGACATGGATACAGTGGCCAACGTGACAACAGATTTGGACACTATCTCATGCTCATACTAGGCATTCAACACAAGTCATAAGCCATTCACAAATTCTTATTAATGTTTATTACTGGAATCATACACTTGTATTGTAAGCTTTAAGCTCGGCCTTCATAACAAGGAACTATTAACATGTCATTAACAAGTGAAAAGTGCCTTTATAAACATGTACCACACACTACCTCCTTATGGGTCTTTTTTCTTACGCAACGGGGCCTATTTTCGCTTACCACGTGGCGCTAGTGTGAACCTCTTATTCTTTGTCCAATAGGGAATTAGCTCGTGTCAGCCTATTGGACGTTCAATATTTGACAGTTGCAGTCATTGGACAAAGAAAACTTCTTCGTACATTTGAGCAAAAAATCGGTAGTCTTTATAATAAATATCGTGAGACATACTACATTAACAAAAATCGCGGGTTACTCTAAAGTTCCAGTATATGAGCAGCGTGCGCTCATGAGGAAGAACCGCTCTATGGTCCGAAACTAGTAGAGCTTTTCCCAGTATATTCACGTGAGTAACCCGCGATTTTAGTTTCTTTCTTTTAAAAAAACGTTGCCCCCCATTAGGATTTTTTCCTGTGTCGTGGGTGCGTTTACAAACATACAAGTTCACATACACAATGACACCCAGACCCGAAACAACAATTTGAGGATCACACAAAGTGTTGTTCCGTGCGGGAATCGAACCCGCGACACGTTGTACGGCAGCCGGTTGCCCAGCCACCGCACCAACCGTGCAGTCAGTTAATACGGTAGTCCCCATTATTGTCTTGAAATGTTTAGTTACCTTGATGCCCTCCTCAGTCTGGTTGACCTCGAGTATGGCACAGATGACGCGCGTGGTGGCGCACATGGTCGCGTTCAACATGTGCACGTACTCCGTCGCCGTGTTCATCTTCTTCGTTTGACCGTATCTGGGAAATTAATAAAAAAAAGCTATATTTTTTATGATATTGCGAGTTTTTAAAGACATTCGAATAAATAGTAAACAAGCAGATGCTAGAGCGTCAACTTAGTCTAATGTAATCGGTAGGGAATTGTGCCATAGTAGATTATCGACTTTAACACAAGACAATAAGATTGAAAATACACATACTGATGGTAATAGATCAAAATACTGTGTTCAATTAATAAAATTGTAAATCCAAAAGACACTCAACAGTTTGGAGAACGCTGCTACAGGTTTTAATTCAACAACTAACTCATTATTCCAATAAACAATTCTCTTGCAAACTACATTTAAAAAATCGACTTCTACCCTCTCTGTTTTTGAAGTCGGTTCATTAATATACTAAAAGTTTCCTAAGCGTATCATACAATTTTCTGAAAGCCACACCTAAATTGGTTCAGCCCATCGCGAGATAATCGCGCACAAAGATACATACATACATACATAGAGATCAAACTGAGAACCTTCCCTTTTTTTAAGGTCGGTTACAAATAGATCTTACTTACATTCCCCATATAAACTAGCATACAACAAAAAATCTCCTTTACCTGACCAACAGTCTTCTAGCCTGGTACTCCAGACAGTTGCTGCATGACACCAGCTCACGGAAGGCTCCAGACCCTGGGAACCAAGCTTCCAAGTCCAGCTTCTTTGAGGCAGCATGGTTCAGAGCTCCGGACACGATGTTCACGACACGGTATGGTATGTTCAGTAGCTTGTAGAACTCCTCTGCATTTGTGATCATCTCATCCATCATCTTCCATGAGGCATCGTCGTGGGGAGAGGTCAGTACGAACTGTTCTACCTGGTGGAGAGAATACAAGTTGTGAATATTGTAAGTTTTATTTCTTATTTTTTTATATTTTTCTGTTGTATAATGTTATGTATATGTGTCTGTAGAAATAAAATGCGTTACTATAAGAATTATATATAGAACTCCTCTTGCCTGCGATACAGGATTGTCCTAGTCCAAGCATTTAAAATTGTGAGGACAATAAATTGTACGTACCTATTTACGATATATTTTTGTATTTCGCATTTTTTAATTATGAATAACGTTTCTTATTATTATTATTATATTATATTACCTTTATTTTAAGTTACTTGGTGATGTAGCATTATAAGGAGAAATTGTGTAAAGAAAAAGAAGATTAAAGATGTTACAAAACAGCTTTAGTTTTTTTTTTAACATTGCCCCACACTAGGATTATCTCCTGTGTCGTGCATTCAAGTTCACATACACATCACACACAGACCTGGAACAACAATCTGTGGATGACACATGTTCCCGGATACGTTGCGAGGCATCTAGTTGCCCAATCACCGCGCCAACAGTGCAGTCAAGTCAGTTATTAAACCATATTTTCAGGCTCCATTCAAGCTTTCGTGAATAAATATATTTATGTGGTCTCAAAAGATTTTCGTAACTGATATGTAAAAGATACAGAACAATGTATGTAAATGATTGAGTATACCTTTTCAAATTGATGTACCCTGAAGATACCACGAGTATCACGTCCGTGGGAGCCTACTTCTTGACGGAAGCAAGTTGAGAGGCCTGCATACCTGAAGGTAAACAAAGATTTAGTTAATTAATATTTTTAGAAGCAAGCCTATTACAACCTCACAAAACTGCTGTAAGGCAGGACGTACAGCAGATATAGCGACTATAACAATACTGGAACACTGAAGTCCGACGCGTTTCAGGGACATAACTGTTCCGAATCCCGCAAAACAAATAACGCAAAAAACAAACAATTTCTTTGAATACTTTTGGTATGCTAAGATTCTAAGAAGATTAAGTGTCAGCCATGCTTCGGCACGCATGGGCCGGCTCGACCGGAGTGATACCACGGCCTCACAGAAAACCGACGTGAAACAACGCTTACGTTGTGTTTCGTCGTGTGAATGAGGTTACCGGAGGCCTAATTACGCCCCCCCTCCCCAGTCTCCCCAATTCAAGAATCCTCCACAATCCTCAAGTTCCCAATTCCTAAAAGGCCGGTAACGCATTTGAAACGCCTAGGTGTTTTTGGTGTCCATGGGTGACGACGAATACTTACCATCAGGTGATACGTCTACTCATTTACCAGCAAAAGAGAAAAAAAAATCTTTGGGTTTCTTAAAAAATAAGTTCAAAACTAATATGTAACATCATATCTACTTACTTAATGGGTAATGAAGCCTCAGGCAGCCACTCGTCTCTGTGGTAAGCAGCGATGGGCTGTTCAGAGGTGGCGATGAGATACTTCTCCTCCACAGCGGAATCTCCCTTATTCTCAGAGCCTTTGCCCACTACTTTGTACAACTCCTCGTCGAATTGAGCTAGTTGAGCTACTTCTTGCATCACCTGCAACATGACAAAAAGGTTCCAATAGGAATATACTGCACTTATATCTTTTGTAAATGGATACTTCTGTATGTTATATTCGTGTGTAAATATAAATAAATAGTAAAGTGCAAATTGTTAAGTATAAACATTAATAGATTATTAACTTTATAACAAATAAGATAAAGTTGGAAATCACCTGTACCTCTAGCCAAACGACACTTTAGCGCTTCTCTAACCATGTGAATGACACTGACCAGCGTCATTTACGTCTATCCTATATAATTTAGTTTTCTACTCTACAAGTAGACATGCGCTAAATGGCATTTGGCTACAAGCCATTGGTATATAGAGGTTCTCTATTTCAACATCTCTAGATAAGAAAGAAACCTGATGTTTGGAGACATCAATATAAGATTTATAACTAATTCCTTTTGTTACTGAAATAATAGAATTGTATACAAACCTCCTTCCTCATGAAGAATGGAGTGTAAAGTGGCGTGTAGCCTTTATCTAATAGTATTCTAAGGGAGAGCTGGATTAGAGCCTGCTCTAGGAACACTGCGGGACCCTTGAGGTAGTATCCTCTGCCACCAGCTACCGCTGAACCTCGGTCACCGTCCATACCTGTTGATGTATAGATATATTGTTGATATATCTATATGAATAGTTTCAAATCAAAAACGCTAGCGCAACTGTTGTGCAAAAGGTTTCGAGTTCGATATCTGGATGTAGGCATATATTTTTTTCGGTTTTCTGACTTACACAGTAGTTGCAGGGCCAAGGAGCAATGGTTTTAGATTTTTTTTCCTATTGTTTCACATATAACTGCACTCAAAAGGGAAAAAACATGGATGATTTCATAGACTATAGTTATGCAAACAAGTACCTATTCTAAAAGGGCTTTATATGAATGATTAGATAAGTAAATATAACTTGAAAATCATGGGTTTCATAATAAAGTACTTTGACATACAATGTACTTCAATAGAAACTTATGCTACAACTACTTGAAGATAATATTTGCACAAGTGGAGCTAAACATGAAATAACAATAATACTTATGGAATATAATTATATATTGTGTGAGGAATGAAGATCTTTAATTTTGTTTAAGTTTGGAACAATATAATGAATAAGTGATTAATTCTTATAAGAATTACATAGACACAGCCAAAATAACGGTCACTATCAAAATTAATATTAGTCAAAAATAGCATAGAACTTGGGTGAAAAAAACCTAAATGTAGCAGTCAGAAGAAATGGTAAAACTCACCATCGATCATACAAATAAGGTCTACATGGGAGTACTTGGTCCTGAAAGTGCAGTCTCCATGTGTCCTCTCCACTTTGTTGTGGTCCTCGTCATCATCCACTGGCACAGACTCGTGGAGGTGGTTCCCCACTTCTCGGAGAGCTGCTGAGCGAGCCTTCTCTGCCACCACTAGAGCCTGCTCGTTCTTTACTATGGCATCATCTATCAGTTGTCTGACCTAAAATACAAATAATTATAATAATTTCTATTCTGTTCATGTAACTTAATCAGATCTCATTTTTAAACTATTCTAAGTGGGTTACAATATGATGGCTGTATTATGAAAAATATTATGGTTTCAAGTTTCAATACATTTCTCTTGTCCCAATATTATTAAGTCTAATAAGATAAGACCATTACATGCTCTTTCTTATTGTCATTTATTATAGTTATACATATGAGAATTTAGCTTTAACCCGTTGAAAAGTGTTGAAAATCATCCCCTAAATTTGTTCATACAAAAGTAGTCTCTAAACATTGGAAATAAGGTCTATAATGGAGTTAGTGGAGAGCACCAGAGGTTACCGGTGACCGCTTGGGGATATATGGGTTAATTATGTAAATAGGAATAAATAAATTCTTTATTGTTAATATTATTCAATATTTAGGCCAGTTATGTCTGTAAGTATGGACCTAGTAAGTTTTTAACTTAAATTAACACTGGTTTTAAACTGTCAAACACCAAGCGGTCACCGGTGACCGCAACCTATTGTTCTATAATTGTGTCTATAATGACGGTACTCGACGAGTTAATAAGCATTATGAGTCACAAATGTTTGTACTGCATTGCATGATGCAATGTTATCAAACTCTGGTTCACTGAAATCAACAACAATGTAAAATGGCTATTGAGCCAAAGTCAAAGTACTTAGATTAAATTCTACATAAGTATTCACTTTTTAATCACTTATGTTTATGAATTACTACATATAAATTCTTTTTAAGTAATTTTCTGCATACTATTTAAAACTGATGTGTTTTAGATTACCATATGGAATGGTATGAATATGGCACATAAGAATTATGAGATAAGCTTGACAGCAAATACAATTTACTGATCTTTACTGAACACTTTCTCTCACCTTTTTGATCTGGTTCACTGTCAGAGGTTTCAAGTCATCTGCAGTGAGGTCCACCAATTTCTCAGCCAATTCAGCTGGCACAGGCTCATCCTCTGGCCCTAAAGCCTCCTTGTTCTTCATCTTCAAGCCCACAGCTTTGCTACACACATTCTTCAGCTTGTTATAATTGTCAGCTTCGTGGCGCAATCTCCTCCAAAGGGTATCCTGTTCCACCACGGTGTCGACGAGGGCAACATCTTTGAACCTCTTACGCTGATTTTCACGGATTTTATCCGGGTTACCGTCTTTATCGGCACGGAATAAGTCTAAGTCTAGCACCATGATGCCGCACTGTGTACAGACCCGAGTTTATTGTAAAAAATGTAAAAGAATACAGTGCACGTAGCACTGCATGCGGTAAAAGAGAGAGGGTTCGTTCAAAATCCTGAATATATGTCTATTCCTTCAATCAAATACTTAACAAAATAAATAATGTTGAAGTTAAAATTGGTTTTGTATTTGATTTTTGTAAAATAAAGAATTATATAGTCTGATTGCGTTCAATAGTTTCATTAATTTTTACGTAAATCAAGGAAAATCATTAGTTTCAAAGATCTACATTTCAAAATGTAGGAATTCTGAACGTACACAAATTGACGTTTTGAAGAACTTTGATTATTCTGATTCTGACAAGTCCCACGTCTAATTCTGAAAGACACGTTCCAAACATTTGATATGTGTAGCGATTTTTAAAACCCAATAAATGTAAACTCTAAAAATACCTTGTTTGGTGCTTTTATGTATAAATGAGAATTGTTTATTTTAAATCAAAACTACCTGGGGTCTCTACGATTTATTTTATAGAGTATCATTCGAATTTTATTACTCAACTCTGCGTAAAAACTTAAATTGGAAAGATGGTGGGAAAGGCACATATTATGTTTGAAAAGTAGTAATTAGCGTCTGATATAAAATAAAATAAAAAAACAGAAATTCCATTAAAAATTAGAAAGTCTGCGCAAAGTAGCAGAAATCATGACTTTTATTTTTATTCACTGACGACGTTGTCGACCTATAGTAATTTTACAAATGGCCACACCTGTCGTAATTGTCAATTTGTTGAACGATTGGTCGGCCCTTTCTCGAGCTCTTGTTCATAAATTTTACGTTTATTTGTATAATATGTGGCTCTTATCGGATACCAGCTGAGAGTATTCAAGCTTGTTTATCCACATACAATTTGTGAGTATTTACATAAAGTAACTTTTATTGGTTGTCGCATAAAAATGAGACTGACTGTTCCTTGTTTACACGTATTCGATATCAATGGTTTCCCGATCTATTTACAAAGGGGTGGATTGTTCTTATTAAATTCTGTTTAGGTTCCGGTTGGATGGCTTTTGTTTTCAATTATTATTATTTGTAAATCTAGAGGTTATAAAGAGATGCTACTGATTGATGCGCTTCAGATAATTTGGTAAACGGGTTTGTTATTGCAACCCACTTTTTCGTAAATCGCACAATGCATTGCCGGTTGTGATCTAATCATTGTCGAATTCTTTTTACAAATAACTTGGTTAATAAAAAGGAATAACTTTGAATCACTATTATTTTGTAATGTACCATCCAATTGTTATGAAGAGGTGATCCTGACACATAAATGATAAGAACTCGGCCCCCAAGCATGACTGATAAAAATGAATCAGATTCTGACATGAGCTGTTATTTTATAAACATTGATAATAAAAAACAACACATATTTTTACTAAACTGTAATAGTTTCCTGGTCTTATTAGATTATAATTGGGAAACCAGGAAATATTAATAAAGAAATTACTTTTGTTAAATGTTTGTGCTATTCACAACTCTTTTTTATCACTTCAAAGTTTTAAAAATATTTTAACACAGTCTGGGTGTGAATTTGTATGTCTGTGAACACACCTATGACACAGAAGGAAATAAGTGTAGTGATTTTATAATGAAAAAAAAAAAGAATGTCACTATAACTAATATCACTATCACGACATAGTATAAAACAAAGTTGCTATCAGCCGTCTGTGTGTCCCTATGTATACTTAGATCTTTAAAACTATGTGACACATTTTGATGCAGATTTTGATTAGATAGAGTCATTATTTAACATTAGTTATATGTATTATACATGCATATTGCACCATGCGAAGCCGGGGCGGAGAGGGGGGGGGGGTGAAGTTTGTGAGTATGTTTGTTGTCACAACAGCTAGGCAGGGATTGGGTTGAAGTTGAAATTCAGAGCAGGGGTAGATTACCTATGACCTGGAATAACACAGGCTACTTTATATTTAATGGGAAAGTGGGTGAAGCCACTAGCAGGCTTGTTAAACAAAAGTAAAGTATTGTTTGAATGTGCAGTGGTAAATTATAATAATGTAAGTTACTAGTCATTAAGGTAAATAATGATTAATTTTATTTATATGTTATTGATTTTACATTGAAGTTCAATGCTAGTATTTCATTCCTGCTATTTATTTTGTTACAATATTTGTATTAATTTTTGAAGATATTTAATAAATATATTTTAGGAAGAATTTCTAGAAAAAAGATCTGAAGAATTTTTATAGTTTAAAAATTATTGCTTGTAACATTTGCATAAACTAGTAATCCACAAGTGGTTATTAATTTGTTTGAAATTAAAAAAAAATAAAATATATTTACTCTAATCTGGGAATATATTTTAGAAACATAGGATGTAGGCTTTACATATGCGCGATGTAGGACGTTATGTCGCCATTTGTCGTTGAAACTTCAATGAGCATTGCCAGCATTCAAGAAGAAAAATAAAAAAAAGTATCATTATGTACTACAAAAAAAAGAACCATAAACAACTAATCTTAAAGGTATAAAGATGTATCTGATAGTATTGAGTGATACTAAAGTAATCTATTTTACAAGTTGTGAGTTATGAAATGACTGTAAAAGTCTAAATTACATCACCAAATATCTGATGCAGAAAGCGGAATACAAACTAATTGTTAAGCAAGTTACTTTTTAGAGCATGATATAAAAGTAAGAAAAAAAAACAATGTAGATGCTGTATTATGACATACAACATCCTTACTTATATTGTAAATGCAAAAATAAGTTCGTCACTTCTTTACATTTTATCTACTTTCTTAATCACTTTGATATATCATACCCAAAATTTGTTCATGCAAAAGTAGTCTCTAAACATCGGAAATAAGCTCTATAATGGAGTTAGAGGAGAGTGACCGCTTGGGAATTGAAAATTTTCTCTTTTTTTTTTGTTTTAAACGTTGCCCCACACTAGGATTTTTTCCTGTGTCGTGGGTGCGTTTACAATACAAACATATGACACCCAGACCCGAAACAACAATTTGTGGCTCACACAAAGTGTTGTCCCGTGCGGGATCGAACCCGCGACACGTTGCACAGCAGCCGGTTGCCCAGCCACCGCACCCGGTTGGTGCGGTGGCTGGGTAGCCATTGTACTCAGAGGCCTAAGAACGAGTTTGTTTTACGTTTAAAGTAATTGAAACGGGACTCTAATTGGTTGGTTCATTGGAACTGGCCAATCAGAGCGCCGAACGCGTACTCGTTTTAATTAATTTAAACGTAAAACAAAATTTGTACTAAGGCCTCTGGACATAGCTTAATTTCATAGGCACAAAACTTTTTACAAAGCATTGTGTTTTTTTTTGCAAGAAATGTTTTTTTTCACAATTTAGGTATTGTACACCATAAAAACATACGGAATAAAATGTGTATAATGGGCTGTCTTATCGCAGAATGCTTGTTTTGTTTATTTTATTTTATTTTGTCAACAGGCGATGTTAAGATGATTCCATTAAAAGACAACCAGGATGTGGCATCATTCCTTGTCACCAAGCACTCATGGAGGGGGAAGTACAAGCGAGTCTTCTCCATCGGCACTCACGGTATTACCACATACAACCCCGACTGTTTGGAGGTGACCAACAAATGGCTGTATGCGGATGTAGTCACTATTGCATCTGCAAAACATTCAAATTCGACCGCCAATCATGACTTCACACTTGTCATGAAAAAAGAAAAGAAAGTAGATTCAATGAAGTTTTCTTCGGAACACAAATGTTTGATTCTCACTGAGGCTTTCAAATACAGACATGCATTCGCTGAAAAACCTAAGGACATTTATGTGAGTATTTGTTAATGAAATAGTAAATAAGGAAATAGGTACTGTTAATATGCATTTTCAGTGTGTAATAATAATAATTGTTACTATGTAATATTGTTAAACGAAGGATTTCTTTTCCTGAACTGCCTCGTTGACCGAGTGGTTGCAAGTGCGACTGCCGGGCAAGGCGTCTCGCGTTCGATTCCTGGGTCGGGCAAAGTATTGCTGGGATTTTTAAATAAATCTCAGTAATAGCAGTCTGGAATTGTGCCCGGTATATGGGAATAGGCTCACCCCCTATTACATGGGATTTATAACATAAATAGTAAAAAGTGTGTGTTACATTGTATAGTGACATTAAGTGCCGTAATGTGCACCCCTTTGGGGATAAAAGGCGTGATGTTATGTTATGTGTGTTCATTTCCTGTATTCTGTTGGCTATAAACCTCCTTTGTCTAGTAATTACAAAATTTACAGGCCTTACTGATTAACTCAAGATAGTATTACTCAAGTTAGTACCTATTATTGAGTTTGTATTCTTTGTGGTGTGACAAAAGACTCAATAGCTCACCTACCTTTAACTTGAGATTATTTACTTAATTTTTGTTAGCGGCTGCTTATTACACGCGTCAAATCTACGTTCTTATCATCATCATCAACAGCCTATAAATGCCCACTGCTGAGCAAAGCCTCTTCTCACATGGAGAAGGTTAGAGCGTTAATCACCACGCTTGCTCAATGCGGGTTGGCGATTTCAAACTTATAATTAGAAATTATAAGTCCAGGTTTCCTCACGATGTTTTTCCTTCACCGTTTGTCAGTGGTGTCTAAATAATCTTAGAAAGTACATAGAACTCGGAAAAAGTCCCATTGGTACTTGCCGTTGGTAGGTTTCGAACCCGCACCCTCATGCATGAGAAGTGGGCGTCTTAAACCTCCGGGCCACCACGACTGACGTTCTTATGGTTTTTCTTAATTTTTTAGAGATACCAAGCATACAAACACCATTGGAGCGGGACTCGCCTGCCAGTAGTACTAGAAGTTGGTCCCTGTGCACTGGAACAGCTGGACCCGTCCACACACACATTACTCGCCAGCTACCCGTACTGTGATGTGCAAGGAATACTACCAGTTCGAGACGTGCCAGGCGGCTTCGTCCTCGCCGTTGGAGGCTACAGCAGACTCCACCTCTTTTCCAACGCCATGGACCATCAGATCATCATTAACAAAATGCTGGAGATGGCAAGCCTGACTCTAAGCATCAGCATCAAAGTGTTGTCCACAATGATCACATTAGACGATTATCATGACCAGAGATTTGGAAAGTACAGGTATGAATTTCAGCTCTATTTTTAATACAATGACTTATTTTATCGTCGTGCGCGTAGGCATTTCAATTAATTACACTTACATCAAAGTATTCCATATGAATCACACAAATCTTCAAAGCAAATTTCTATTTTGATGATTGCAAGCGAAAGAGGGTTGTAAGAATCGTAGCATAGCTATTAGCGTTTCATAGTCTCTGCCTACCCCCATGGGAGACAGGCGTAAGGTTATGCATGCATGTATGTATATATGGATCACACAAATGTTTAGTAATTTTTGAGTACCAAACTCAAAAATTACTAAACATAGTAGGGATAGGCATGATTTTTGTTTCAACCTATGTTTTTCGCTGTGAGTGTTGGTGGGCTCTGCTATATGTATGGAAAACCGTGAAGGTTACTAACTCTATGAATAGACCTCTTTGTTACCTGTGGTAAGATAGCTTAAAACTAAGGGATTTCAACCTGTTCCGTAAACTATGTTACTTTAACATTCGATTTATTCGTTTTGACAACTAGAAACTAGAACTAGAAAGACATCAACTACTTATTTGCATAATTTTAGTCTACATTGAATATAAATATGTATATGTATGTTTGTCTTGACAATTTTCACCCAAAACATTATAAAATTAGTATCATAGTTGGCCGTCTAAATTAACTACATACATACGTAATTACAGCTATTGTTCATCCACACATGTTACCCTGCATTTGATTGTGGTCTGTTAATTTGTGCGACCTTGAGTGTGAACTCATTTATCTAACGCGATACACTAGTTTTGTGGACGTATCAATTTTGTCCATTATAACATTTCTCTTGATGATGTTATTTTAAGAGGAAAATGTCCAACGGCCATTTTTTTACTTTCCAAATTATTTTTAAGCGGTGTTTATGGTTACGGCAAGTTCTAACAGTCGTATGAAATGTACTATCGGCTAAGTTTACAGTAGTACACATTTTAAACAAAATCCTGTGACGAACTCTCCACCGCCCTATTTTTCCTATGGTCATCCACACAGAGTGCATGCGAATATCGCATACCTTTGTCGATTGTGCATAACGTATATATATAAATATATTATACGATATAATTTATTGTACACCAAAAACATAAGTCAATACTCTGAAAATTATAGGTACGAGTGAACTTGTTCATAAAATAGAATAAAAAAAACACGTCGTTTTTGTTGATTAAGTTCAGGTGCCTTTGTTACACGCCCACTTTGTAGCAGAAGTGATGAATCGTTGTGAACCTTTTGTCCTAGTGGACCCGACCCACTAGTTGTATCAAAACAAACAACAAACAAACAAACAAATATATTTATTTCCATTTTGTTCACATATATGTACTTAATCAAAGCTTATTATTTAACTATTCTAGGTAGGTTACAATACAATGTATCAAATCTGTACTACCACTGAGAATTAGAACGCAACGCAACCTAATCAATAATAGCCATATCAAATTTCCAAATGTATTTTCCAAGTGTTTTACTACATTTTGCAGTGGTGACCAACATCAGACCTCTCTAAGCGAATTTATAGTCCACAAAGTGAACCCGGCTCGTCACATGGAGCCGATGCGACGGACACTCTGCCTCTCTGACACCTGCATACTAGAGAGGGATCCACAGACGTACTCTGTAAGTTGATTTTGTTAACAGTTTTAGTTTGTAGTTGACTGTCTCGTTGGCCGAGTGGTCGCAAGTGTGACTGCCGGGCAAGGGGTCTCGGGTTCGATTCCCGGGTCGGGCAAAGTATTACTGGTTTTTTTTTATAAATTCTCAGTAGTTGCACGGAGTCTATAGACTCACCCCCTATTACATGGGACTCTTAACATAAATAGTGAAAAGTGGGTGTTACATTGTACAGTGGCATAATGTACACCTCTGCCTACCCCTTCGGGGATAAAAGGCGTGATGTTATGTTATGTTATGTTTTAGTTTAAAAACCTTTTTAATACAAACAAAATAAGCAAATTTCTAAGATAAAATTGACTTTCCAAATACCATGTACAAGTGATCGTCTTATAATATCTTTGTAGATACATTGTATAGAATACATAGGTTTTAATTGATAAACTAATATTATCATATACATTTGCTCTGTGAACCATAAGAACTTACAGTTGTATTATAATTCCCATACGTAGTACTTACAGAAATAAAGAGAAATAATTAGAAATGTATGTTCCTTTTTCAGGTGGTATGCCTTCGTCCATTGAGCGATGTATTCGCGTTAGTTCGCGACACGGAACATCCACAAAAGTTCTCCATCGAATATCTTAATGGACAAACACGCACATATTTAGCAGGAGAGAGGTAAGTAATGTAAGACTTAAAAGTGCTTGTATTTTTTTTTATGGGCGAAAATCATCGAATGACTGCTCCCGTCTGGGTGAGGCGGGATACTCCCGTATTAGACTCTTACTGACTAAAAACCACCCCGTTCCTTCTCCTGCACCTGCCCCGGTAACCCGTTAGGTTCTCCGCGACAAAAGTGCTTGTATTAACTTTCATAAAGACTTCCATTCTTTTTTAAAGAAATTTCTCAAGAAAGACAAGTTTTTAAAATCCAATATCTTATAAATAAAACTAAACATCACCAATTTAATTAAAATATACAGTTTACTTACTTGAACTATCAGAGAAAGCTCTACTAGCTGACTGCGAGACATTATCGCACTGCACAGGTATAGAGTATAATGAACATAGCCAAAGACATCGACCTATCAAGAATAAAAAAAAATACGCTGCTCAAGTGTGCGTCCCGATATGACTCGAAATCAGTTGAACTTTCACGTGATTAGGCCGTTTGCGATTCATTTTGTAATAATTATTATAAAAAAATACCAAGTAAATGTATTTTTAATCTTTATTTTTTTGTTTTGTATCCAGGGACGCGTTATTAGCATCGTTGCTAGACGGCGTAAGGTCCGCTGGCCAGCGCGACGTTCACGTCCGCTCAGTACCGACTCCTCGCGGCTACCGACTGGGACCTTTACACCAACCTGTCGACGAGGAGACTGAGTCCAATCACCTCAGGTATTTCTTGTTATGATCTTTCAAATTAAACTTTAATCAGTAGGAAATAAGGTATAATTTTGTGTGTACAATAAAAAGTAGGAGTAGTGCTCCACTGTAATCATGTATTATTGTGGTTAAAGTTCATTAAACTGTCAAACACCAAGCGGTCACCGGTGACCGCAACCTATTGTTCTATAATTGTGTCTACAAAACCGGTACTCGACGAGTTAATTAGGGAATGCTTTATACTTCTAGCTTAGTCCTATTAGTATGTTGGAAGTCAACCAGAGAATTTTATAAAAATACTAGCTGACCCGGCAAACTTTGTACCGCCTAAAAGTATTTTCTCACCTTTTAAACCTTCCCTAGACTTCCACGAACCTATCAAGACCAAAATCATCCAAATCAGTTCAGCTGTTCTTGAGTTTTAGCGAGACTAACGAACAGAAATTCATTTTTATTTATATAGATAGATAGATTTACACCGACTAAACAAAACATAGTTTTACAGGCAAAGGACACAGGAAAAGTAATACACGTCAGTAACAAAAATATCGATAGATTAAAAACCCAAACATTTGTTTCCAGATTATTCCAGAATCCCGTTGGTATGTCGCGCGCCGAGGTGATAGAAAGATTCAACGCCAATGTCGGCTACAGCGGCCTTATATACTCCGTCAGCCAAGACGTAAGCCCTTTTTGTAACACGCTGTATAACTTGCACTATACATGCATACTATACTAATCTATTAACATACCCATTTTTTCTAACACTTCACATATATCAAGTTTCATTCCAAATTCGACTTTATGTCTGCCGAATTTGTGTCCAAAATTGAATAGGCAGTCAATATCTTGTAACACTACACATTTTTTCATATATCAAGTTTTCTACGAAACTCGACCTTATGACTATCGAATTTGTGTTCAAAATTGTATAACTAGTCAATGTCCGTGGATTTTTATGTAAAATATCATTGCATTCATTATCAAAGAGTTTGTTTTACGCATGCATTATGCATACCACCATACATTGACATTGACGCATGATGTAATTTACATTCGGTCGAAATTTTACAATGAAAACTATTTAAATTGTGTTGTTTGGGATACGAATCGCAGATCAATGTTTTAGTTTTTTTAGATAGACTGTTTTCCTTTCTCCTATTTATTTATTTATTAGTTTTTCCTTAATTGAAATGGTTTTTCCAGTTTAATTTAAAGCGATATCATGTGCTTTCATTAAAACATATTGATGGAGTATTACGCCAAAAAAATACAAAGAAATGAGTAATGAAATAGGTACATTACGATACTCATATCACGCTATCCACGAACATCACGCTTTCTTTATACATATATATTGTATTGTTGTTTCCTGGGACATATTAATGTACATTGTGTGCCTCTAGGCCCGTCCCCTGTTGTGGCTGTTTCTTACGTGGGATCTTGTAAGTCCCCTGATAATTTTATTATTTTACACCTCTTACATTGCTACTCTATATTACCGAGGTAGAGGGACAAATTATCTACCACAGAGTTTATTTTTACTCTAACGCAATCGTAACGTTACCGCGTTCAGCCCTCTGAGGCCCTAGTACGAGTTTCTTTTAAGTTTAAAGTTAACGTAACGAGTACGCGTTCGGCGCTGTGATTGGCCGGCTCCATTGAACAAACCAATTAGAGCACAGAACGCCGTTTCGTTTCGATTACCTTAAACGAAAAAGAAACTCGTACTAGCCCTCTGATTGGTTGGTTAACTTGGAGCAGCCAATCAAAGCGCTGAACGTCATAAACGTGTTGATAGCGTTATGTAGAAATAATTCAGTATCTTCTTCCCATCGCTTTAGGGCCTCGTGGTCGTGGGGTAGAAACATTCATATACATGTAAATACCATAGTTTTACAATGCGATGTCTGCACTAACTATTGGAATGTTGTACATTTTGCATAATGTATTTTTGTTGTTATTACATTATTTTGAATGGGGTATTTTTTTAAATCTTGGGATAACAATTTTAAAGTTGCACGATATTGTTCAGAGACCTTGAAAATCCTATATGAAATTTATAAGTGTTGGCAAAGCCGAGTGCACTAAAATGTTGCATCGCAGCGTCTGTTCGCGGAGAACAAGGAGAAGTTGATCACGGGCGCGCTGTCCGCGCTGGTCAGCAGTGCGCCGTCCGGCAGCAACTTAACGCCCCGGGAACTCGAGGCACAGTTCCACGCGCTGCGACGACTTTGTGCTAGCAAAGTTGGATTCGCTGCGTTTACTGCGTTACCTGGGTAAGTTATAATATGGTTTTTACGTAAATTGTTATTTATTTTCACTATTGTGAAAGCTTACAATGGATGTATTGATCAAACAGCTTAAAAAATCTTTATTAACTTTTGATGTTTGATCTTATCTCAGTTGTTGAAAGGGGCGTGTAATGTTTCCGTATATTGATAACAAAAACATGTGATTTATTTATATTATCTTATATTGATGCTATTGTCCTATTCATTGATAAGTTTCAAGGACACATAGGTATCCTACCTATGTGTTTGAATTATCCTTATAGCAAAGATTTTGTAATTGTGCTTGAGATATGAAAATAAGCCCTATTTTAATTTACTTAACACGTTAACTAGGTCACCGGTGACCTACGTTAGCGCAGGATTTGCCTTCAGCAGTTTTCTGTCGGCAGTCAAAGGCTTAATGTAATTTCCTTAATATAACTGACAAAAATTGAGTGTTGTATTATATTGCTTAATCGTCTGAAACACCTTGCAACCACAAACTAACCATTTGACATTTCCTTAAGTTAAATGCAGCGCTATGGAGCGTTCTTTGGTCACTTATACGAAAAAACATACAATAATTCGTATGTCAAACACTGTCCCTCAAAATACAGATGAAACCTAGTTTGAGAGGCAGATTTAAAATTGTAATCTCAGATCATACAACAATCTAAATATTGTATACTAGCGACCCGCCCCGGCTTCGCACGGGTGCAATATGCATATATTATACATACAAACCTTCCTTATGAATCACTCTATCTATTAAAAAAAACCGCATCAAAATCCGTTGCGTAGTTTTAAAGATCTAAGCATACATACGGACATCCTGCGAAAGCGACTTTGTTTTATACTATGTATTGAAGTATTTGTCCATGAATAGACGTGTGTACGTTGTGTTGAGTAAAGTTGTTACAATGAAGTTTCCGCGAGTGGACGGGCACGGCGACGGTGGCGGCCCTGCGGCGCGGGTCGGCGGCGTGCGCGCACGCGGCGCTGGACGCGGTGTGCGCGCTGCTGCAGCCCATGCACGCCGAGCCCGACCTGCGCCAGGAACAACTCAACAAGGCCAGCATGCTGTCCTCCGCCACCTTCCTCGAGGGGCTGCTCACCATGTGGGCTGACCATGTCGTGAGTGCCTTCATTCATGTTGTATTATAACTCTCATGAGACATACTAAATAAATTATTATGATTTCGGCTTACTCACGTAATTATTTGACCCACCCACGCCAACCCACGACAAGGCGACTGTCGCGCTGCTACTGGCTACTCGAGTCTTAAGAAATGCTGCTCATGAATATGAGCCTCTAGCATAGCTTGAAACCAGTCGAGTTCCCCGTCAAATAATTACGTGAGTAAGCCGAAAACATAATAATTCATCGATGTTGTTTAAAATTGTACTTTATGTTGTAGTAATAAGGTATGGTAGGGATGTTTGATTAATTGAGACTTGTTTCACAATTTTTACATGACATGTATTTTTTAACACATCTGAAGGTTTACTGAACTATTTGCTATTTACTCACGCGACTAATGGAGGAAAGCTACTAGTTTCAACTGGTTAACTGGCGGTGTTTGCTACGAGACGTTTAAGAAGCCCGATGTAAATTTATTTATCTAAGACAACTAACAAAACGGTTGCACGGTTGGTGCGGTGGCTGGGACACTGGTTGCCGCACAACGTGTCGAGGGTTTAATTCTAACAAGGAGCAACTCTGTATGATCCGCAGATTGGTGTACCAGGTCTGGGTGTTATGTGTATGTGAACTTGTATTTTTGTACATGCACGACACGACACGTATGCTTTTCACGGATTTCAATTATATTACTTTAATTTAAAATCTATGCTACCTGTGGGATGTTGGACTTATGCAAAATATTTTAGCTCACCCTAAATCAAACATGTCTAAATGCATTATTTCTACCTTAATAAAGAGTTCTAGGCGATAATTCCCCTTCATATAGGCAAATGCATAGTTAAGTACGAAAAGTGTTAATAATATGTGTTAATTAATTTTATGAAAATAGTGTATAAGTTACAATGGGGTTGACATATCCATGTGGATAAAAACCCCTCACCAAATATAAGAGAATAAAAAAAAAAAAAAAAAAAACCTATGCTGTTAAATAATTTAATTTATTATGTCCTACGATTACTATACCTACAAAAATAGTTGCTTCTCTATTTCTATTCACATAAGGTCTATTTCCCCTCAGACTAGTGGCAGCGGTGCCCTAGTAGTGGCGGCCATGTTGGACTTCCTGACGTTTGCCCTGTGCGTGCCGTACAGTGAGACCACGGACGGGAAGCAGTTCGACCAGCTACTGGAAATGGTCTCCAAGAGAGGACGGGTGCTGTTTAAACTATTCGAGGTAATTAGACAATAGAATTTAGAATTTACATAAAGATATCGATTCATAAATAGTGTCAACCCAACTAATTGATTATTCAATTTCTCTATACAGATTTCACACAAACATTTTGTAATATGTGTGACATGTGTGTATGATTAATAACCAATTTTAATCTTGATCAACATTTTTTAACAGAAACTCCATACGAGTAATGTCAAAAATCGATATTAATCCAATGATTTCGCTGAAAGTGACTGAGATCGACAACAAGCAACCGATGCCTTATATCTCTCGAGCCCACTGTCCAAATGGGTTGGACTTTGTTCACCAATAGTCCTTCTGACTTCGTAATATTCTTGTGCAGCACCCATCGATGGCGATAGTGAAGGGCGCGGGCCTAGTAATGCGCGCGCTGGTGGAGGAGGGCAGCGCGGCCGTGGGGGGCCGCATGCAGGGCCTGGCGCTGGCCGAGGCCGCCCTGCCGCGACATCTGCTGGCCGCGCTGTACGCGCCGCCCCGCCTCCAGCACAGACATCTCGCCAGGCATCTCGTCGCTCTATGGCTGGTTGACCATGCGCCCGCGCATTGTCTGCTGAGACGGATTATGGTATGTACTTTTTGAGGTTGGAGTGTTCGTTATTTTAATATTTCGGTGCAAATCATGATGAACTACTTTTTACTCCTGTTTCTTTTTTACTCTTGTAGGTACTTGTTGTACTTGAGTTTCATTATTATGCATACACACAGAAGACACAATACTTTCCAATACATTTAAACCTAAAAGATACCGAGAAATGTATCACTCTCTAACCCCATACGTTCGTTCCTCCAGCCGTCAGGTCTGCTAGCATTCCTGGAATCCGCGGACGTGCCTCCGGCGGTGGAGGCGGAGGTGGAGCCCGAGCGCGACAACTTGTCGCTGGCGCAGGCGAGCGTCAAGCCCCGCGCGCAGCACTGGGAGGCGCTCGAGAGACAGGTCAAATATGTTGAGAAACATTTGGAGGTTAGTATTAATGTTGTTATGTATATTGTTGTAAGTTGTTTTTGCCTAAGGTAAAATCTATGATAATTCGCAAATTACTAAAATAGAAAAGAAAACTAATTAGTTCTTTTCGCTTTTTTCTCCCTTCAATCAAGTTTTAATTACTACAACTACTAGCGCTTGATGAAAATGTTATAAAAAATATGAATTAGTAAAAAAGTTAAAAAGAAGGGAAGTTGTGATGTCTATAGAAGATGTAACTGAAATAGCAAATCGTTTTTCCCCTAGCACTACGCCCAACTAGCCCTCCAACATTGGGCCGCTCGACTGGGTCGCCCGGCGGCGGAGCGCAGGGACGCGACGCGGGAACGACCCGTCGTACTGCGGAGACGAAGGGAGAGAGTCAAGTCTACTGCCAACTGGCCACTCTTCTACTACCAGTTCCATAAGGACCATGCTCTGCCTAACCTCATATGGAATCATACTGTAAGTTGTCATTGTGATCATTTTATGTAGATTTTGTGCAATGAATATCACGTTGTAATTTCCGTTCCATATGTCCAAATACTCAAACGCTAGTCAATTTTAAGTCGCGCTTAAACGTAGTTCTCTCACTACTTATTCTTTGTAAAATGACAGAGATGGCACGATATTTGAGTACAACTTAAAATTGAGCAGCCTTTTAGTATTCGGGCGATAAGCTCAAAAGTCTAACTATATACTTACATTTGCCAAAAATGAGCAGGCATCATTATTTCTATAGTATTTAATAAAATTGCTTTGATATGCGACTTTCAGCCATGTAGCGTTGTATTAGAGTTTACATTTGTTTTAAAATATTTTAAAATAGTTAATTATAGTATTTGATGAATCTGATATCCCGATTAAGTAAAGCCTTTATTATATTTACGATGATGTCCAAATATTGTCTGACATAAAAAAATACTAGTTGCTATAGCTATTCTAAAATGCATCTTAAAAAGATAAATGTAAAGTTCATTTCACTTTTCAAAAGACTCGAGAAGAACTTCGCAACGCTTTAGAAAACGAACTGCGAGCGTTTACATCAGACAGAGAAGTGGCGGGTACGACCCTGACATCGTGGAACCACGCAGAGCTGGAGGTCCACTACCAGTGTCTGCAGAACGAGGTCAAAATCGGAGACTACTACCTTAGGATACTGCTGGAACAGAGAGACAATGATGACAGTCCAATTAGGAAATCGTAAGTAGATTATCTAGATTTTTTAGTCTTTTTTCGTACATATTGGGGGTGTGTGAGTAGAGGGATTATATTAACATTATATTTGTGTCATAACTTTAGTGAAACATACTAAATTAAAATTATTATGTTGTTCGTGTAGCTGTTTGACGAGGAACTCGACTAGTTTCGAAACATTCTAGGGGCTCATATTCATGAGAAGCAATTCGCTACACACGACGCGACGACTGTAGCCGGGGTTGTAGCAGTAAAATGTAATTCCTCTTAAAGTTAACTACTAATGTAGGACATAAATATCCACATCTCAAAATTTTTACGAATTTTAAACTTATGTGTTAATTTTGTCCTTATTTGCTAGTGAAACCACTGAAGGTTATAATGAAAAGTTATAGTTATATAGGTCATCCTAATTTCCTTTCCAGCTACGAGTTCTTTAACGACCTATACCACCGTTTCCTATCGACACCTAAAATAGAGATGAAGTGTATGTGTCTACAAGCAATGAGCATTGTCTACGGACGGTACTTTGAAGACATTGGACCCTTTGCAGACACCAAGTATATCGTGCAAATGTTGGATAGGGTGAGTTTAATTAACTTTTTTTTTATTGTATAAGTCGGTAAATGAGCAGACAGACGGATCATCGGACCTGATGGTAAGCAATCGGCGTCACCCATGGACGCCAGAAACACCAGGGGCGTTACAAATGCGTTACCGGCTTTTTGAGACTTGGGAATTTGCGGATTGTGGGGGATTCGGGAGTCTGGGGAGAGGTAACCTCACTCACACGAAACACAACGCAAGCTTTGTTTCACATCGGTTTTCTGCTCGGCTGTTGTATCACTCCAGTCAACCCGGTGCATTCGTACCGAAGCATGGCTCTCCCACACTTAGCAGTGTTACAGTTACAGCTTTCACTAACAACTGGAAAAATATTTTGTTATTATTCCGCTGAAGGAATGAATTTGCAGCATTCAGTATGCAGCAAATAAACATTATTATATATACCTTTCTATATTTTACAGGTTTTAATATATTTATCTGTAGATTTTTTATTAGAGATGGATTTTTGATATATGATTTGATATTAGTCAAAATCCTACAGAAAAGTAAATTAAACAAAGAAACATACAAACTAATGGAGCTAGTATGAACCTCTCGTTCTTTGTCAAATAGGGTATTAGCTAGTAGCACATCATTGGATGTTCAATTTTTGACAGCTGCAGTGATTGGACCTAAAATATCTTGCTATATTTGCGCCATCTAAATTCCGGTAGCCTCCGTTGAATTGTGATATATTAAGCTTCATATCCTATCCTATCCTACTAATATTATACATGCGAAAGTTTGTGAGGATGTATATTGTGTGTGTTTGTTTGTTTTTCTTATACCACGACGACTAATGATTATATGGTTTGTTGGTTTGTTACTCTTTCACGCAGAAAATAATGAAGGGATCGGGATTAAATTTGGAACAGGGGTAGTTAATGGTCTGGAATAACATATAAGCCAGTCTTAATCCTACGGGAAGGCAGGCGAAGCGGCTGGCTGAAGCTAGTATTGTATAAAGACCAAGCATAGTTTGATACGATCATATTCAACTGTACATGTATGTCACATCTATGGTTTTGTGTTTTTGTTTCAGACATGTGATAGAATGGAAAGAGATAGATTAGTTCAGTTCTTATCGAAATTAATATTACACAGAAGAAATGTTAGCGATATTTTAGAATGGAATGGTATTAGGTAAGTTTTTTGATCTAATTTCGGCTCCTAAATAGTATCTGAAGATGATGACTTATTTAATTTGGTTGTTACTGGTATATTGAATGATAAAATGGCTTCTGCTGTCATTCTTGAACTTTTGTAAGCGTAACAAGCCTTAAATCTACAGTGACGCCATCTAGGCATTGCAAAAATCATCTCTCAAGTCCTCTTCTACATTATAAAATAGTTTAAAAGTTTTATTGGGTTTTACTGTTCCGTTGTTATAACATGTAGTATATAATAATAGTGTAGCTTAACTATTATATTCGTTTCAGGATCCTAGTAGAACTGATGACATTAGCACACTTACATACGTCTAGAGCCACAGTACCGGCACAGAGCAACGTTATAGAAGGGCCTCAGCAACAGACTGGTGGGGACAGGGAGTGGTATTATAATGTCGATCAAGGGGATAAAGTACAGAGGAAGGGACCTGTTAGCTTCCAACAGGTAATTATGTTCATAGATTTTCAATGTAAGCTAATGGATCACCAGATGGTAAACAATCGGTACCGTCTATAGATTAGGACCGATAGGTACCGTTAGGGATTCGAGGATTGGAGGTGGGAGAGTTCGAGTTTTTGGCCCCCTTACTCACACAGCAAAACATAACGCAAGCCTTGTTTCACGAGTCGCGGAGAACCTAACGGGTTACCGGGGCTCCGGCTCGACGTACAGGAGAAGGAACTGGGTGGTTTTTAGTCAGTAAGAGTCTGACACTCCCTCCCGCCTCACCCAGGCGGGAGCAGTCATTCGATGATTTTCCCCCCTTTTAAAAACAGCTTTGTTTCACGTCGGTTTTGTGGGAGATCATGATACCATTCCAGTTGACTGCTATTAATCATTCAAATTTTATAATGGTCACGCTTTGTATCATCTTTTTGCACATTCGACAGTCACCTTATGCTTAGCTTGATGTGATTTTTACTTTATTTTTCACAGTTGAAAGACTTATACAAATCGGGTGAGATAAACAACAAGACTAAGGCGTGGGCTAATAGTATGGAAGGTTGGCGTGCAGTGGGTGGAGTGGCCCAGCTCAAGTGGACACTGGCCGCGAGGGGAACTGCGGTATATGATGAAAGTGCATTGGCTGCCACTGTATTGGATCTGCTTATTACCTGCGCCAGATATTATCCTAGCAGGTATGCTTATCAATATATGTATAGTTTATCTATTAACTGAACGAAAGAGGTTAATAGAAGACAAGACCAGGTTTACTACTTATTTCTATAACATTATCAATTATTTTGTAAATAATATATGTACCTAATGGTAATTTTAAATCTTTCGTGAGTCATACTAAATTAATCATTGTTTTCGGCTTACTCACGTAACTGTTTGATGAACACTCTACTAGTTTCAAGCCATGCTAGATCAACATTCGGTGATACGCGACGCGTCGACTGTCGCGCTGCTACTGATACTTATAATACTTTATTTTACTTCTGTCTGTTATTAATGTAAACATTAATCTGTTTTTGCAGAGATGAAGAGGATGCAGTAATAAGGCCGCTACCAAAAGTAAAGCGCATGTTATCGGAACCAGCTTGTCTAGCACACGTTGTGCAGCTGTTACTCACATTTGATCCAATACTCGTCGAAAAGGTACGATATCAAGCCTATAAATTATTTACACAAAAATATTAGATGTTGACAGAAATTTTCATAAAGTTAGAAAAATGAAATGTTGGCCCAAGAATTGGTCCTTGGGGAACTCCAATTTTAATCTTTCGTTATTATTTTTTAGTTGTTATTTTATTAACGATTTCACAATTTAAATAAGTTGCTGTATAAAAGTCAATTTTCTAGTCTTATTTATGTTATTGAAGGCGTCCCAATTATTATTTTATCATGCTGCAGAGTATCGAATGCCTTTGATAAATCTTAGAAGACTAACTTTTACAACAATGTTATTTCTACCTTTTTGCACATTTCAGGTAGCTACCCTCCTGTACGAAGTGATGCAAGATAATCCTGAAATATCGAAACTATATTTGACCGGAGTATTTTACTTCATGTTGCTATACACAGGATCAAACTTGTTACCCATCGCTAGGTTCCTTAGATTGACTCATATGAAACAAGCATTCAGAGCTGACCAGGTTTGTAACATTTCTATTTATTTTTCCCTTTATTCTCATGTTATGAGTTCTATGTCATTGAAATAAGGTTTAAAATGCAATGAACTTGAATTTTTTTTCCTTTGCTTATTTATACCATAATTATATTATTTTTCTGTCTGTAGTCGAGTTCAGATATAATGCAGAGGTCGATATTAGGCCAATTACTGCCAGAAGCGATGGTTTGTTACTTAGAAAACCACGGCGCTGAGAAATTCGCGCAGATCTTCCTCGGAGAGTGGGACACGCCTGAGGCTATATGGAACTCTGAAATGAGGTTTGTAGCTACAATTGGCTAGTTTCCTAGGCTTAAAATATTTTTTTTCAACCTTTCAATGCAATAAATAATTAAAAAATAAGCATACTCTCATCCATTGATTTGACAATTGACCTACTTTTGATTTTTTTCTCGATAATTTTAAGGAAATAAAAAAAAATCATAGAAAAGTATAGTTTTTGACATTTCTTTAAAAGTATTGAATTTGACTACCTGTCAACTACTGTATTCTTACGTTATACTGTTTTTATTGGCAAAAGTATGTGTGTTTAATAATTCAGAAGTGAACTGACTGCTTTTGATATTAGTTTTACTAAGATTTTTCTCAAAACATTAAGATTAATGCAGTATATGCAACTAAAGAGTTTCATGTATTTGAGACAAATCAGTAAAATACAATATTATTGCTATTACTACAACAATTATTAAAATCAGTACAATACTGCTTCAAGGCCTAAAGCTTTTTGTTTAAAAACGAACTAATTTACTGAATAATCTCCTCAACTGCCAGACGGATGCTAATAATGAAGGTATCAGCCCACATCGGAGAGTTCACCCCCCGCCTCCGCGCGCACGTGGCGGCCCGCTACCCGTACCTCGCCATCCCCGCAGTCTGCTACCCACAGCTACAACACGAACTGTTCTGCAACATGTTCTATCTGCGACATCTCTGTGATACTCAGAAGTTCCCCGATTGGCCTATTCCTGATCCTGTGAGTAGCATTTCAATATTTTAAAACCTTGAGTGTTATTCGATAACTCTTTTTTTGCTAGATATTCAAATAATTCAGTCGTTGTATTGCTTCTTGTCAGTCATGTAATAGATGGTATTGTAAATTCAGTAACGGGTGCCATAGTCACGTTAGTCAATTTTTGTATGCCGGGGACGTCACGACGACGGACGGACGACATATACGCGAGACACTGTGTGTTTTCTATTGTGTCTCATATACAGGCTGACAAAGGGTTAAAGGACCTACGCCGAGTTAATCTGTAATCTCATTTACATACTTTGTACACACTAATCGGAACCTAAAACACCTGATAATTTTTTTTCTACCATCTAGGTTGGTCTTCTCAAAGACGTATTAGAAGCGTGGCGACGTGAGGTGGAGAAGAAACCGCCTTCAATGACAGCGGGCGAGGCGTACGCCGCCCTGGGCCTGACTACTGGACAACATGACGAGGCCGCAGTGCGCAAAGCTTACTATAGACTTGCGCAACAATACCATCCTGATAAGAATCCTGAAGGACGGGTTAGTTATTTTTTATTTTCAGAAATATTGATGTAGTATGTGTGAATGGTAGACTTGTATAATACTTAGCATATATTGAGATTTCAGCGGTATAGTTGCGCTAAAAATTTGCGCAGTCATGCGCAACTTGTAGTTTGTTGCGTCACTTATGCCAGTACTTTATCAACATTTAATGAATTACGTAATAGTCAAAACGAGTTCCGATTTCACAGTAATCAAATAAAAATACTTTTAATTCATTATAACATGTTTAAGTACAATTAGTTAAAAGGTGCATGTAATTATGAATATTTTTTATAGGATCGCTTCGAAGCTGTAAATCAAGCCTACGAGTTTCTATGCAGTCGTAACGTATGGACCGGTGACGGACCTAACACCAACAATATTGTTCTCATACTCAGAACACAGACTATACTCTTCCAGAGATACTCTGAAGGTAAGACTTTGTATTATTTGTTTTACCTCGATGACGTGTACAGCACTTGAATGTTGAGGTAGGCTCGGCCGCTCTAGAGCGGAACCGCGACGGTCTTTAACTGCGCAAGTTTATGAAACAGAAAAACGAGTAATGCAACGTGGTTAAAACCCGCCGCATTTCCACTAGTGCCACCAAGGTGATATTTGTTTAACAGTAATTGTTTTTCTGCCTCGTTGACCAAGTGGGCGAAAGTGCGACTGCTGGTCAAGAAGTCTCGGGTTCAATTCCCGGGTCGGGCTAAGTATTACTGGGTTTTTAAAAACCTCCTTAGTAACATGGAGTCTGGAAATGTGTCCGGTATATGGCAATAGGTCCACCCCCTATTACATGGGACTCATAACATAAATAGTGAAAAGTGGGTGTTACATTGTACAGTGGTATTAAGTGCCGTAATGTGCACCTCTGCCTACCCTTTCGGGGATAAAAGGCGTGATGTTATATTATGTTATGTAATTGTTTTTCAAGTTTCAATGCAGAATGAATTAAATTATTAAATTAATCAAATGTAGTTAAAATTCGTAAAATTTGGGGTTAACTGGCGCAAACAGTTTGAGATTGCTCGGTTGGTTTGCGCTGTGGAGCAAGGTTGGTAACGAGTATTGTGCGCAGTGCTGGCGCCGTACAAGTACGCGGGGTACGGCGCGCTGCTGCGCACGGCGCGGCTGGAGGCGGCGGCCGACCAGCTGTTCGCGGAGCGCGACGCCGCGCCGCTGCTGCCCGCCGCCTGCGAGCTCGCGCACGCCACCGTGCGCTGCTCCGCGCTCAACGCGGAGGAACTGCGCCGGGAGGGGGGCCTGCAGGTTACTATACGCATTACACTGGTATACTTGCACGAGTTGTAGTCCTTCACTCCGTACATTCACTTGTGGTGAAGATGAAGGTGATGTAGTGTAGAGCAGGGCTGTCCAAACAAAGGCCCGCGGGTCGTGTGCGGCCCTCGGCTTGTTTTAATGTGGCCCGCGACACATATTTTAATCTCAACATCTTCATCTTATGTGCAACAACAATAATAAAAATCAGTGTATAATTTGTATGCAAGTTTAATCTGTGAGAAAAGAATACAAGAATATAAGATGTTTCTGACCCTCCAGCTTTTGTAAGAAATTTAATTGGCCCGTGACGATATATAGTTTGGACAGCCTGGTGTAGAGAAACACGTTTCACCTAGTTGCACTAAGTAGTTAATTTATTGCAATTAAATTACAATATGAATGAAAGGCGGTTATTTCTCTCAGTTGTTGATAGCTACCAAGTTATAAGTTGACTATATTTTAATTCGCAATTCACATTGTTTTATTACGCTAAATTGTACGCGCGTCGTTAGCCTAAAGTAGGTTGCCGCGTAAACAGAAAAATGTGCGGTGGTGAAACCGTACAATACTGGAACTCAGTAGTTCTCAAAATATTTTTAGTCTACGACTTATACGAATCTAGTTACCATAATCGAATCTCGCCTTATTGATATGTAACTGTTATCAATATGAAAAAAAAACCGCATACCCTAAAATTAAGAAACCCTGCTCTAACTTTATGTTATTGCTGCATTATATTGTTGCATTGCTTGTATTCTTCAGATCGTTTGAATTATGTAACTTCTTAAAATATTTTCCCTCAGCAAGCACTTTGGTCACAGTGAAAACCGCATATAAATACGTTGCGAAAACTACTTTAAGAAACTTAACCGCTACTAAGAGAAGTGTTGTATTATGGATTTGCATTTCTTATGAATGGCACAATGTTATCTACGTCTTTACCTACTAACCAGGTCCTCCACGAAGCCATGTCTCGCTGCGTCCCGGTACTGTCGAGCGCGCGTGGCCCGGCCGATATATCCGCGCAGGTATGTGCGCACGTGGCGCGCTGCTTCGCCGTGGCCGCGACGTTCCCCGCCTGCCGCGCCCTCTGTGCTGAGATGCCGCAACTATGCGTCGATCTAGTACCACTGCTCAAGAGACCTGTAAGTATTGTTTTTGTAGTATTTTTAAGATCTTTATTTCAAGTTTGGGATTTAGTTTATTGTTATATTTCAATATTATTCTTATTTAAGTATCTTTAAATATCTTTACATTATCATCCCAGTCGTTTTAAATACGTTTTCGTTTCCATCTATCCACTTTTAACGTGTGAAATCGTCACGATGACTAATCGACTTTAGTTTGTTGAAGATAGAATATGTTCCAGAATCTGAAATTAAGATTGTTTGCGATATTATCTTTCACTCCTTTTAATAAAATTACCACTATTAACTTTTATTTTTTTTATTTTACATTCTCTTCATATACCACAATTTCTTAACCACATCATCATCATTACCCCGTGTTCATCCACTGCTGGACATAGGCTTCTCCAATTGCACGCCACTGAGCTCGGTCTTCAGCTCTTCTCATCCAACCACTGCCAGCCACCGTACGGATGTCGTCGCTCCTAGCTGCAGGGCGCTCCCAACCATAAGTCTGAGAATGTGTCGTTCGTCAGAACCTGGGCGAGACGGCGTGCGCGGGCGCGGCGGCGGTGGGCGCGCTGGCGGCGGAGGCGACGTGCCGCGCGCAGTTGTCGCGGGCGGGCGCGCTGCAGGCGCTGCTGCCGGCCGCGCTGCGGTACGACTACACGCTCGCAGAGTCCGGGCTCGACACCGACACGCAGCTCAGCAAACAGGTCGCTCATACATTATGGACTGCGGTTTTCTTTATGAACAAACTTGTATCCTTATTTTTTTTTAACT